TTTTTATTTTTTTTTTTTTTTTTTTTTTTTTCCTGATCAAGGTGTTGAGATTGAATGGTTAGGTGAACTCCTCCTGCATTCTGGTTTATGAACGATATTTATCTTTAGTTTTCAGAGCTGTTGTGTACTCCCCCCACTTCGGAGTTATTAGTATCTTAAAGAGAATTCAGAGGAGGAATTGCTTGACACTTCCTATTACCCTGCCATCTACCAAGAAGTCAGTTTTGCTTTATTTTTTAACAGAATGGAAAATAATATTTATTCTCCATCCTGATGTCTCTTAGCTTGGTGACGCTGGAGAGGAGGCCATGGTGGAGGGCAGAGAGAGGGGCAAAGGTAGAGTGAGGTTCATACTACAGTGGTAAACCTTTTTTTGTGTGTGTGAATTGCAGGGCATATTGTATCAAGCATGAGAATACATTTTATTTCTTTGTAACCTCTGTAATTCCCTTGGACCATTCTTAAAAGTGTATCTCCAAGAAGAGGTAGCTTCCGTTTCTTATTTTTCTTTGTGTCGCTGTAGGTTTTCACTGGTATTTTCATGGCTGAAATGTGCCTAAAAATCATTGCGCTGGATCCCTACCACTACTTTCGTCGAGGCTGGAACATTTTTGACAGCATTGTTGCTCTTCTGAGTTTTGCAGAGGTGATAATAAATAGTATGTGTCCAGGAAAGCAAAGTTGTATGTCACTTCGTTCCTTAAGAGTGGTAAGGCACTTTCTTTCCTTCTTTTTTTTTTTAAGGGGCTGTCAGGATGATAATCCAATTTAACCAGCTCTTTATTTATTTATTTATTTGGTTGCACCGGGTCTTAGTTGTGGCAGGCGGGCTCCTTAGTTGCAGCAGGCAGGCTCCTTAGTTGTGGCATGTGAACTCTTAGTTGCGGCATGTATGTGGGATCTAGTTCCCTGACCAGGGATCGAACCTGGGCCCCCTGCATTGGGAGCGCAGAGTCTTATCCACTGCTCCACCAGGGAAGTCCCATACTGAATAACTTATCTGACAGGATTGAAGAGTCTTGAGTGAGTTCAGTAGCTAGTTTGGATTAAACTTTACCATCTTACCTTAACCTGAGAACCAAAGCTGCACTCCTCCTCCCACCCAGGTCTTTAATACCTTTGTGAGTCCCAAGGCGTTTTCTCTCAGGTGAACCCCTACTTTCCTCCCTCTCCCTCCACAAGATGATCCTTCAGGCAACCAGATGCAGAATTGTGTCTTCTGGTATCAGGGCTCTGCTCCTTGCTTCGTGTACAACCCCTCCAATGATCTCTTCCCCCACAGAGCTCTGAGCCAGGCATCCTCACAGCTGGGCTTACCAAGTGGGTGTAGACTACAGAGCCCAGGACGGGGGTCGGGTGCTGCCTGCAGTTGTTATCTCACAGGGTCCCTCTTCATTGCTGCCAGTACCACATTCCTTTTCTGTAGTCTTTGCCTTCCATCCACAAACCATTGGAGGCATCCTGGCAACCTTTGCCGAGCACCTGATCTGTACATGAGGGAAAGTTCAAAGGTGAGGAAAGCACTGCCTTCAAGGAGTTTGCAGTCTAGGGAAGATACAAGACAGGCCCAGAAATGACCATGAGGCAAAGTGGAGTGTGACAGACCCCACAAGAGGTATGGACAGAAATCACAGAGAAATCACATGTGGGAGGGTAATAGGGAAACCACAAAAGGTGACCTCTTGTCCCCTTTCAGAGATTTACTTTTGTTTTTGGCATGGATAGGATTTCTAAGCCTGTAGAATAAGACATTTGATTCAGTTACTTAAGCATACATTTTATACTTGGCATATGTTAGAAAATCACACTGCTTGAAGTCAAGCGTTATTAGGCCGCTCCCTAAAGTTTTATTGGTGCTTGGGTGAGCAAAATTACATTTGCTTTACTATTGTTTAGGCTTATTACAGCCATGCTATGAGGCAAGGAGCTCTGTGGCATTGCCTATGAATAAGAACAGAACCACAGTTTCTCCCTGAGATGCCCTCAGCTCCCCTCTAAGTAGACAGTGGTGGTCCTTCTCTTGAGATATAAGTCTTACTGAGCTGCAGTATCTCCCCACCCCGCAAATAGTTGATACTTAACAGGATTGTACTTGGGAGTGAAACCACTGGTTTACATTGAAAGTTAATATAAGAAATAATCTATGAAACTAGTTGCTGTGTTTTTTCTAAGCTTATTGTTTCCTATAAGGTCTGTAAGTTTCCATGGAGAAAATTTCTCGTGGAAAAAGAGAGTGTGTCTTGACTGGCTGATTGCCTTTTCTCTCCTAGGTTCAAAACATCATGTTACTCTTGTCATCCTTATGAAGTTTAGATTCAAACTTGTGACCTCAAATATATAATACAGGAGTTAGCAAACTTTTTCTGTAAAAGGCCAGACGGGGGCTTCCCTGGTGGCGCGGTGGTTGGGAGTCCGCCTGCCGATGCAGGGGACATGGGTTCGTGCCCCGGTCTGGGGGGGTCCCGCGTGCCGCGGAGCGGCTGGGCCCGTGAGCCGTGGCCGCTGGGCCTGTGCGTGCAGAGCCTGTGCTCCGCGATGGGAGAGGCCACAGCAGTGAGAGGCCCACGTACTGCAAAAAACAAACAAACAAAAAAAAGGCCAGACGGTAAATATTTTCAGCCTTACAGGCCATGTGGTCTCGAAACCACTCAGCTTTGCATGTGTCGAAATGTGTCGAAACCACTCAGCTTTGCTATCGTAGTACAAAAGTAGCTGTAGCCAGTAGAGAACGCATGTGCGTGGCTGTGTTCCAATAAAACTTTATTCATGGACATGGAAATTTGAACTTCATGCAATTTTCATGTGTAATGAAATATTTTAAAAAATTATTTCCAACCATTTAAAGATGTAAAAAACATTCTTACCTCTCAGGCCATATAAAAGCAGGCAATGGGATGGATTTGGCCCTGGGGCCAAAGTTTTTGACCCTTGGTATATTATGTAGGGTTCCAATACATTCATTATATTTAATAAACATGTATGCTCAATTCCACCATCATGATCCCAAAGTCTTTATCATTTAAAATATTAGACCAAAATATTCCATTTTTAAAACAAAAAGTAGATACAGGTGAATATTAGATTGGGACATGGAGTTGGTGACCATGTTTGGGATGGATCTGGCTTTGAAAAGATTTTTGAAATTTATAAATGCTGTGGTTTGGGAACATGTCATTTAAATTGTAGCTGAGCAGATGGAATTTGTTCGTAACTGGCTTTTCTTCCATTTTTGTTTATTGTCTGTTTTTACAGCTGAGGGTCTTCAAGTTAGCCAAATCCTGGCCAACTTTAAACACACTGCTTAAGATTATTGGCCATTCCGTTGGAGCCCTTGGAAACCTGACTGTGGTCTTGGCCATTGTGGTCTTTATTTTCTCAGTAGTTGGCATGCAGCTTTTTGGCTCTAAATTCAATTGCATAAAGAGTAATTCAAAGTCCCATGATCCTGCAGTCCCATGTTTACGACGCTGGCACATGGGGGATTTCTACCACTCCTTTCTGGTGGTATTCCGCATCCTTTGTGGGGAATGGATCGAAAACATGTGGGAATGTATGCAAGAAGCTAACCAAGCCCTGTGCATTATTGTGTTTCTGTTGATCATGGTGATAGGAAAACTCGTGGTGAGTGTCTTAGTTTTGTTGTTGTTGTCATTGTATTAAATACATGGACTAAACAAATGCATTGGCTTCTTTTGTAACACTTCACTAGTGAAAGTTGTTACTCTAAGTATAGTATTATAAATGTAATGTTATATAATATTTTAAAATCTGCATTTGAATTTTGTTTGAAGACAGTACAATAAGCATGAAAGAAAACCTTGTCACGTAGTGCTCATAAAGATGTTCCAATGTCTATCCTACTCCAGGTGGTTATTCAGATCGCCATTGATTGGCCGAGGTAGGGGTTTTTGACTTAATTTGTTCAATAGATGTAAAGAGATGTCCACTGAGGAAGGTTTCTTGTTGTTTAAAAGAAGAAGAAGGAGGAGGAGGAAGAGGGATGAGGAAAAAAAAGTGGGCCTTTTACTTCCTCTGGACCTTTTATGACCGTGACTCTTGGTAGAACTGCAAACATTATACAGCCATGAGAAGAACTAAACTAAGACAAAGTAAGCACTGAGGAAGATAGAGGGAAGGTGGAACAAACCTATTGTCGGGTCATAGTTGGTCCCCTGTTTAAAATGTTTCAAATATCTTGTCATGTGACATTTTCTTACTGTGTAAGCTGCCCTGAGTCTGTTACTTGCAGCTGGAAACATGGCTATTTATGGAGAGGCTAATTAGGTGTACACCAGTGAGGGTATGAAGAGACAGGAGACAGACAGGGATACCTGAGCGTAAGTTCTTCAGAACTGAGTTGGGGCTATCATGCAAATATAATTAACAATCCACATAGAAATAAAATTAACTATCCTAAATACCTAATAAGTGATGTTGATAGACAGTAAGAGATACGAAAGATCAGAAGGGCAGGGTATCACCCAAGGGAGTGGGAAGGGAGCACTAAGAAAGGCTTTGTGGGAGACACAGTACTTGAGAAGGGCACTTAAGAGGCAAAGAGGACTTAGCAAATAGAGGAGAGCTTGAGCAAAGATTCTGACCTGGGAATTCTCCTGGTGAAGCTGAGGAAGAGTGACTAGACCCATTAACACCCACAAGACACTTCTCCCAGGGAGCTGTATATGTTTGAGCTGGTGAGAGCCACAAACAAAAGAGATTAAAAAAAGCCTGCACAAGTATACCGTCTCTCAAATTGTGCAGACAGGAGAGGACCTCCTAGCACAGCAGTCTTAGACATCAGACCCATATCCCTGTGGGCAATTCCAGAAAAAGTCCAACCTCATGATTCTGGCTGATCCCCAAGGAATATCCACTTTTGATTTTGCCACGTGGTTTCGCCATTCAGCCTTACCCTGGCCAGGGTCTACAGTATGTGCTGCTTACACACAGACAGACTGGATATGGCTGTCTGCACCCTTTAACGTCAGTTTTTCTTTGGTCTTATCTTGATGTCCCTATTACTTCCTCAATCTTCTCTCCTTTTATTTATTTTACAGATGAACTTTCTTGGGCGGCAGAAGGACATAGAACTCTCATTTGATTTTGTTTTGGGTCTTGGGGAAAAGTTGTTGTGGAAACCTACTGTATTCTTTCCTTTGCTAAATTTTTCATTCTCCTTATGTCCCCCCTCCCTTTGCCCCTTCCCAGGTACTCAACCTCTTCATTGCCTTGCTGCTCAATTCCTTCAGCAATGAGGAGAAAGATGGACACTTGGAAGGAGAGGTTAGGAAAACCGAAGTCCAGTTAGCCCTGGACCGGTTCTGCCGGGCTTTTTGTTTTGTCATATGTACTCTTGAGCATTTTTGTACCAAGTGGTGCGGGAGACAACATTTACCAAAGCGAAAAGAGGTGATAGAAGGCCCTGAGGCAGAGAGCAAAGGTGTCATTCCCCTGGTCACAGAGATGAGAAAGGGCCCAGAGACCTGGGAGGAGTTTGGTGTACTGACTTCCGCACCAAAGACCTTGAGTGTCGGGCATGATCAGACTTGGTTGGCCCCACTAGCAGAGGAAGAAGATGATGCTGAATCCCCGGGTGAAGATAAGGCACAGCCTGTCACACGACCTGAGGCTGGAAAACAGGTATGAAGGTTCACACATAGACTTAGAGGTTGTACAAAGCTAGAGTTGCCATAGCGCACTGGTTGCCTGCCCTGTTCTGAGCACTATGGAGGGATGATAAGGGTATAAAATGTGGCAGCTGCACATCCGGGGCTGGTTCTAATCATGGTCCTGCACATGTGGCACAGGTGGGCGGTGTCAGAGGAGTTCAGAGGGGAGCACGATCAGAGTGGGCTGGGGCAACAGGGGAGTCAAGTGCCTTTGGTTGAGCCCTAAAAGAAGAAGTATAGAGTTTGAATTGGCTGAAAGGTGAGAAAGGGAGTGTGGAAGGTGAAGTGAATAGCACAAAAAGAGATTTTGTTTCTTATGAATTGCCTACCACCCTGGGAAGGATCACTTAGCCATAGCCGCTACCCCTGGTACTCGGAGGGGCAGTAGTCTCTCATCTCTCAGCCTCCCTCTTCCTTCATGGAACCTCTGCCCTGCAAACTAGCTGGAGTAAGGGTGATCAGGGCCCTAGTATTCTCAAGCTTTTGAACCTGGAATAGAGTCTCTGTCCTATGAGTAGAAACTGAATTGAAAAAGGAAATCCAACTTCTTGGCCACCAGAAATTCACCAGAAATTTAGCCTCTTCAACTCAGAGTTGGAGGAGATGAGAAAAGTTGGTAACCTGCACCTTCTGGTGAGATACATATCTCTTGACTGGGAGCTGAGGGTAAAGGGAGCCCCATCCTCTTGGTCACATCTGCCTAGAGTGGAGCTTCTGTCAAACTGAGCTGGGGGTGGGAAGGAAGAGAGCAGATCATGGCTCAAGTGACATCGACTCCTGCTGTTATTACTGAAATGTGTAGTTTTTTTAGTAAATATTTCTTCATTTGCTGTATGCCCTTAGGACAATTTCCAGAAACTTAAATGACGTTTTACGAATATTTTCCACCACTTACGTTAATTTTCCTGTGGAGCATGTCTGCAGAGCTTCTTACTTTACTATCCAGGAAGCGAAATTCTGTATATCTTTTTTAAATGAAATTCTAAACTTGTTAATTTTAGTGATGCTTTCAGATTACTATACTACTTTCATTTTTTTCTCAAGTAAATTCACCTCCCTGTAGCTAATTTTTGAGGGCTACTGGTTTTATGTTTGTCTCCTCATACATTTTGGAGTGTGAATTTGAAAGCTCATCTTTGTGGGAGGATCTGTCCCTCTCTCAGCAGTCTAAGTTCTGTGGTATCTTTAATCGACCCTCCTAGAGGATCCATTTCAGAACTAAGTCTTGTATTGCCAACTTGGGATTCTTGTCTAATAGTGATACTAGGCATTTTTCAGATCCAGTCACTGAACCAGTGGCTCCCTTTGCCCAGGTCTTGTTTCTGAGGCTGTGCTTCCTCCTTCCTCTCTAGGTATGCAGCTTTGTATAATTGTAATCCCAAACATTGGCCACAGCTTCTTTTGTTGACTTATTTATTTTTAACATCTTTATTGGAGTATAATTACTTTACAGTGGTGTGTTAGTTTCTGCTTTATAACAAAGTGAATCAGCTATACATATACATATATCCCCATATCTCTTCCCTCTTGCGTCTCCCTCTCTCCCACCCTCCCTATCCCACCCCTCTAGGTGGTCACAAAACCACAGCTTCTTTTGACTTTCTCTCAAGTGCAAGAACTTCACCCCAACCCACAGTTTCAAGCTTTGGGCATAACTGTGGTTTCCTTCCTCACACGGGGCACTTTTATTCACCATTACCTGCTACATACTTTAAATTGTTATTACTTTATATTTCTGTTCTGTGTCTGGTCCATAGATAGTGTGTACCTGTTTATTGTGTGTATATGTTCAAAGGGGAAAAGTGTTCTTAAATCGTGACCTTACAATGTCAGATTCACAGGAACCCTCACATAGATTTTAGGATGAAACCTTCACTTAAGGTGTGACTTTGCATATCCTTCTTGGATTTAGCTGAAGGTCATAGGACAAAATTTAGTTTTTATTTTTATGTTGTGATATATTTTCATATTTTCTTTATGTCTTTCAGTTACCTATTTTGCTAAGCCAACCCTCTGTACCCAACAGAGTAAAATATTATTTTCCAAGTTATTCTTCTAATATTTTTATACATCTATTTTTACATCAGAATATCAAATGATTATGGATTTTAATTTTTACTGTATTCTGACATTGTAATATTTTTTCAGGGATAACTAATTATGCCAGTACCATTTATTAAACAATTTATTATTTTGCCATTGAATTGAAAGGCTACAGTAAGTTCCACCTCTTAATTATTTGGTGAATTTTGTATCCAAACCATGTGGTTTTGATTATTATTACTTATGAGTAAGTTTTGTTATCTGTTTCCTATAGTAGTGTTCCAGAATTATTTTATGTTGACTTTTTCCAGGATCAGTTTTCAAAAGTAAAGCGAAAAATGTTAATAATGTAATAATTCTCATGACAAACAGAAAACCAAATAGAATTCAAACTTGTTTCATCTCAAGTGAGATGTCCAGGAGGAATATTAATTCTACTTGGGGTTTCTCAGTGTCAGGCCAGTGAACTCCATCAGAAGACCAAGGAGCCCACCAGTCCAGGAGCTCAGAGTGTGGAAATGGACATATTCTCTGAAGGTGATCCTTATCTGTCGATACAGAATCCCCGAAAGGTAATTTTCCCAGGGTGTTCCCAGAAGAAACACGGCTCATCCATACACCTTCTCCAAGATAGCCGCTGTGGAAAAATATCAAGATTAGTACAAAGCAAACTGCCAGAATTAGATCTTAAGCAAAGGTCTAGGCCAGGGTTTCTCAACCTCTCCACTATGACATTTGGGACAGGATAATTCTGTGTTATGTGGACTATTCTGTGTATTGTAGGGTGTTCAGCAGTACTCTGGCCTCAACCCACTAGAAGCCCATAGCATCCCCCCATTGTAAAAATAAAAAATGTCTTTAGACATTGCCAAAATGTCTCCTAAAGGGTAAAAATCAATGACATTGCCAAAATGTCTCCTGGAGGGTAAAATCAACGAGAACCGCTGTTCTAGGCCTATTATTCTGGGAGTTGAGGTAGCTGACAATTTCAGTCTCGGTAAAGTAGCATCCTTCTCATCACCTGGCTTCCATATTTGGGGTTAGTCAGCAGATGAGGTAAGATTTGGAGGGAGGAAAAGGTTGAGGCACTGTGTCTTCATGTGCCTTATCTTTCATCAACCAAGGGAGAGCAGTTAGAGAATTCTTTCCTGAAGTCAGGGCTGGTCAGAACATTTAGGAAAGAACGCAACAAGAGGTATACTTTCTAGACACCCCTCATACCTTTGCCCAGCTAATTTCGTTCATAAAAAGTCATAAAATAAGGTATTCAGTATTAACCATGGTGACAGAGGGTGTTGGAAAGTGATTCCGCCTTTCTTTGTTCTGACGTACAGAAGTCTGATGCTACGAGTGTGCTCTCAGAATGTAGCACCACTGGTCCACAGGATCCCTTTAGGCGGGTACTTGAAATGGTTCCCAAAAAGGAACCAGAGAGATGTTTGCCCAAAGGTAAGTGGCAGTATTCCTACATTCAGTTCATGGAATATTTGGATGGGATTCTGTTATTTTTTGAAGAGCTATGGTTTTTATAGATGCCTTCTTTCTGCTTCTACTGGAGACAAAAGTGAGGAGTCTTCCTTGGATTCTCGGGATCATTTCAGGAAATTCTTCTTTTTTTTTTTTTGGCGGTACGCGGGCCTCTCACTGTTGTGGCCTCCCTCATGGCGGAGCACAGGCTCCGGACGCGCAGGCTCAGCGGCCATGGCTCACGGGCCTAGACACTCCGCAGCATGTGGAATCTTCCCGGACCAGGGCACGAACCCGTGTCCCCTGCATCGGCAGGCGGACTCTCAACCACTGCGCCACCAGGGAAGCCCTCAGGAAATTCTTGATTTAGGTGGGGTCAACTTGTACAGCCCAAGTACCAGGGCAGAAAATCTAGAAAACTTTCCCAGAAAGCCCACTGGGCCAGTATTTTTGCCACTTGGTAGAGTTCCCAGTACATCAATTGTCAGGATGTACTAGAGGTCATAGACCAAGAGAACTTGACCATAAGTCTGGGGTTGACTAGAGCCCTTGCCAGGCCCTCAACTCATCTCTCAAGATTTTTCTTTGGGAGCAGAGGTCCAAGATAGTGGCGTAGGAAGTCCCTGAGCTCACCTCCTTTCACGGACACACCAACTCTACACCTACTTATAGAGCAGTTCCTCCTGAAAAAGACCTGAGGGTTGATTGAACAGCTACTGCACATAGAAAGACCACATAGAAACAGGTAGGAAAGACGGAGACATGGTATCCATGGGAATCCCACCCCAACTTAGTGACCTACAGTAAGAAGGAATATGGCTGCAGGGCCAGAGCACAGACTCACCTACCTTGGGACGCAGCAAGAAAACAGCAGTTTAAAGGGCATCTAGACTATACTGGAAGGAAATCCATGTACTAACCCTAGAGCTTCTCCCAAATGAGCAGGGAAGTTCTGGAGCCCTCTGTGGGGTCAGAGGCACCAGAGAGCGCCTTTGAGTTACCCCTAGAACTCCCCCTAGCCCTCACTCACTCCAGCTCTAGCTACCCCACCAAGGCAGCCTTGGCCTCAGCACTCCCCAGGGACTGACTCCAGCCCAAGCCCTCTCTAACCCCAGCTGCCCTGCCTGGGTGGACTTAGGAGGAGTGCTCCCCAGAGATTGCCCCTGGCAAGCTCCAGCCCCAGTTGCCCTGCTAAAGCTGCCAGGTGCAAGCCATCTACGCGGGATACTAACACATGAGTCCACTCCTTTGAAACCAAGATAGGTAGCTGTTTAACCTAGTTCATAGAAACAAAAACTGAAAGTCATAATGAGGAGATAGAGAAATGTATTCCAAATGAAAGAACAAAATAAAACCCCAGGAAAAACCCTAAAGAAACAGAGGTAAGTAATTTACCTAACAAAGAATTCAAAGAGATGATCATAAGAATTCTGACGAAACTAGGGAGGAAAATGAACTTCATCCCAGTAAGAACTTCAATGAAGACTTAGAAAATGTAGGAAAGAATTGAATAATACAACAATAATACAATCCACACCAAGACACATTATAATTAAAATGTCAAAAATTTGAATATATTGTGCCATTCCCTTTGCTCTGTAAAGTTTCTGCTGAAAAATCATCTGATAGTCTTATGGAGGTTCTCTCGTGTAAAGCTAGTTCTCTTTCTCTTGCTGCTTTTAAGAATCTCTCTTTATCTTTAATTTTTTGACATTTTAATTATAATGTATCTTGGCATGGATCTCTTTGGGTTCATCTTGTTTGGGAACCTCTGTGCTCCCAATCTCCAAACTTGGATGTCTGTTTCCTTCCCCAGGTTAGGGAAGTTTTCAGCCATTATTTCAGTATTAACCATGGTGACAGAGGGTGTTGGAAAGTGATTCCGCCTTTCTTTGTTCTGACGTCTTTTGTCCCTTTTCTCCTTCTGAGGCCCCTATAATGCTAATGTTAGTATGCTTGATGTTGTCTCAGGGTTCCCTTAAACTCTTCACATTTAAAAAAATTCTTTTTGCTGTTCTGATTGGGTGATTTCCACTGCCCTGTCTTCCGGATCACTGATTTCATTCTTCTGCATCCTCTAATCTGTAATTCCCTCCAGTGCATTTTTCATTTTAGTTATTGTATTCTTCAGTTCTGATTGGTTCTTTTTTATATTTCCTGTAGTTCTATATCTTTGTTGAATTTCTCACTGAGTCAGAACTGGCACATTATGACTCCTGTTCTGCTGTGTTGGCCAAATGTTGTCACATGGCTGAGCCCAGATTCAAGGGGTTGGAAAAAGACTCCACCTCTTTAGTTGGAGGACTTTCAAAGTCACATGGTGTGTCCAAGGAGGGGTGAAGAGTTGGGCTATTAATGCACATGTATTATAGACACTAATGATAGTGATGCTAATTCCTTGCAGGTCTGGATTGCTGCTCTCCATGCTGTACTATGGACAAGAGGAAGTCCCCCTGGATCATTTGGTGGGACCTGCGGAAAACCTGCTACCAAATAGTGAAACACAGCTGGTTTGAGAGCTTTATTATCTTTGTGATTCTGCTGAGCAGTGGGGCACTGGTAAATTATCATGGTCTTGTTGGGGGCATTGGGGATCAAGGCAGCTGGGTGGCTTCATTCTGACTTGGCCCCTCACGGGGCTGTGAATGTGGGGAGACCAAGAAGAAGTGGGATCTCTGCTGTTGTATCCCCTTAGGGGACAGGGTTTTGCACAACAAGTTCTGGAGGAATGCTACAACTGGGAAATCCCCAAGCTGAAGATGCTTTACCTGTGGGAAGGATGACCCAAATTGGCACTTTTTCTTTTTTTCTTTTTCTTTCTTTCCTTCTTTCCTTCTTTCTTTCTTTCTTCCTTCCTTCCTTCCTTCCTTCCTTCCTTCCTTCCTTCCTCCCTCCCTCCCTCCCTCCCTCCCTCCCCT